GTTCACGAGGGCATCCAGAGCAGACGACATTGTGTCGATGAAGAAGATCTGTGCTGAATTCTTCGGATGAATAAACGACCATTGTTTATTTCGGTGATATGGGATACCCATGCGTTCCTTTAGAGTATTTTATCTTGTCTATATTTCTCCGGATCTGGGGGACCCAATGTCTCAGCTATCAACTTAGAGCTACCATAGTTTGGTTGCAGGCTACCTACCGCTACACCGAGTGTGAAGGCGACTTACGATGTAATATTGATGAAAAGTATAAGAAACACATGAGATCTAATCTATTCGGGCACATATAATATGTTGTCCTTGACACCAAGCGGAAAAGATGTACTAAGTAACAAGATCAGTTGTACGCTTATAAAATACAAGGTAATACCCGCACGATCGCTGGCCGAGGCTACGCCCCACCAGTCAGGTCCTACTTTAGCCAATTGCTGCCGTGGCCATGTCCCACCGATCATGCTACGTCGTCCTTCTCTTGGTCCCTGGGCATGCAGCATTCGCTGCACGCGTCGTAGTCCGACTATTGATTCGGGAAAGCAGCTCACCATTGACCCAGGACAGTTCGTGGAGCCGGACAGCTGCCGCCCGACCCCACTCGTCTCCATCTCCGTTACGCTTCGTCACGGCTCACGAGCGCTGTCCAAAGAGGGCTCGCTGCCAGGCTCAACATAAGAATACAACCATCCAAGTCTGAGACCGCTGGCTTGCCACAAATTTGTCACAGCGTGATCCTGGCCGCAGTCATGCCGAGTTTTGTTATCTCAACAGTGACGAAAGGAGAACACTGGCAGAATGGCTTCGTTCGACTTCGTAGTGTCAATTTACGAGTAAGCGACAAATTGTACTAATCAAACTTCCTTCAATGTGAGATGATTGTACCAGTCTTCATGTTTCAGAACGCTCCACAATTCTTTCTGAGCGCGGGGATTCTCTATCTCGTAAGTGTCGCCACTGGAACAGCCCAACAAGTAGAAAATGTTGTTATAGGAGAAGACGTAATGATCAAATTCCCTTTCTTCGAGGATATTCTTGATGCTGCTGGGCGGAGCACCAACTGTACTGGCAAGCATGCATGTTGTGCTCTCCAATGCAGCAGAATCGCTATTCCATCCCTTGGGCTCGGCCAAGAGACGATTCTGTATCCACAAAGTCAGATGTGGAAATAGTGAACGCATTTGTGCTGGGCTGCGCACCTCCGAGTCAGCCAGAGTGGCATTTGTCACATCGTTGGACTAGTGAGAGAACAGATTTTGGCAATGAGGATATGTGTTGTTGCAAGGTTGGGTACATACTGTCATGGCCAATAATCGTGAATTGTTGATGACAATTGGATTGCAAAGTTGGGGGGTTTATTCCTTCGAAGGCCCCTGAAATTCATTAGCTACTGCTGCTCCGTAGATAAGATCCTTAGCTAAGCAAGACGTACCCTTGCCTTGTCTCATTCAACGATGTCTTTTCGCAACATCGACATCGACGCGTACGACGAAGACATCCTCCAAGAAACAGAGCTCTGCGACCCGGATCCACGCGAACCCGCGCAGGTCTTCGGCGACACCAAGCAGAAGCAGCTCGCCGTGCGCAGCGCGTTGAACAAGTACGGCTCTGCTCCTCGTTGCTCTCTGTGTGGTCACTGACCGACGTGGTTTTCGTAGGGGCGATATCACGGGCGCGCTCAACGTCGCGTTGGATGGCCCGCCGTATGGACCCAACGTCGAAGAGGCCAAGGTCCGTCCATCCTCTTTCCTCTCCATCTCACTTCCGATGACCTCTCCGCCGCTGCGAAACAGAGCCTTGCGCTCCAAACCGTCGTCTCCGTGCTCAACGGCACCAAATCGACAGACGTCCCCACCGTCCTCCGATCGCTCTCCCAGGACGAACAAGACACGCTGATGAAGTACGTCTACAAGGGGATGGGTATGCCCGGGTGGGGTGACGTCAGCGGGAGCGTGTTGCTCGGGTGGCATGAAAAGGTGTGTTTTCTGTGCGTAAGTGTCGCATACTGAGTCGAGTGGGCAGTTGACAGAGATCGCCGGGACGGGGTGTATCGTGCGCGTCATGACCGATCGCAAGACTGTATAATCATTCATACTTGCATTGTATCCTACCCTCGCTCGAACTCTTCGGACAGAACACGAAATGACCAAGAACGACTCTATTCTATGCCAGTCTATGGTAAAAAGGAGGGGACATATTCGAAACATACTTTCTAGTGATTCCTCATCTAGTGATCATTCACTCCCTTTGCCTCGAGCCTCTGCGAGGCTCAATTCGATCACCAACCTCAATTCGTCGTCCATCTCTTCCGTATCTGCCACCTTGACCTGGGACGCTTCCTTGTGCCGAGCGATATCTGCCGATAAGAGCGACATATTGACGGAACGCGATCTCGCCATGACTGGTGTGACCACACGCGAGCGTGGAGGCGAAGGCGAGACAGACTTCAACGGGGTGCTCCACGCCGAACGAGGCTGCTCAGGGCTCGCAGACGTCCCTCGCCGAGAACTCGATGTCGAAGAGAGACTGGAGCTGATAGATGGGAAATGGTCCAGAGAAGACGACGATGTGCTACGAGTCGTCATGGAACTCGGCTGTGCGCTCGGTCCGATCGCGAGCGATCTAAGCGGGCTGATGCTCGTGCCAGCCTCCATCAGCTCAGGGACGAACCGCGGTGACACCTGCACTTTCTCGTTTGATATTGGGATTGAGACGCGCGGGTATTGGCAGCCATTCGAATGTTGAGTCGAGGATGAGCAGAACGGCGACAAGGGTGTGGAAGGGGTCGACCTGGACCGAGAGGACGTCGGTGTACCAGGCAGGTCGTCAAAGTCACCCTCGAACACCCCCTCATCGACGACCGTTCGTTGCTGACGGGCTTCCTCCTCTTCGCGCGAGAGCATCAGCACGTATTCGACAGCCTCCAACTCTGAGAGACCGAGCGTGTCCAATGTAGACCTTTGCTCACGCTCGCGGCCATGTATGCGCTGTGTATGCGCTCGCTCGTGCTCGAGTTCCATATAGGACTCGGCGATATCCTTGTGCATCTCGTATTGTTCTGGAACATATGTCAAAGAGCGATTCGGAGCCAAGGACGGAGGCAACTTACGATGTCCCTTGGTGGTGACATTGAGCTTGGTATTGGCATGTTTCGGCCTCTTGCGTTGATGCTCGCGGCCGTTGGCCGGTCCAACTTTCCACGTCATCACACGGTTCCCAACGATGATGACCACGAGCTCCTTGGCCACCAAGATGCGACTGACTGCGTCCCAGTCGTGTCCGGGCGCTGGGCGAGGCGCAGGGGTAGTAAAGCAACGCATTGGCTCCAGAGTGAGGGATTCCCAGACAATGGTGGACCCGCGAGCACAACCGGTAGCAAAGACGGTGGGGCTGTATGAAATAGCCGTCACCGCATCTGTGTGCGCCTCGAATCGATGGACGGGAGCGACAGAGGCTTGTGAAGGAACGCTGGCATCATAGATGCTAACGAAACCAAGCAGATCACCGACGATGATCATGTTCTTGTCGCAGGAATCTACTGACATGACGGGCTCTATGCAAGAGACGTTGCCAAATGCACTGTCACCAAAGGAGGTGATCGTCACGTTATGGGATTGGACGTCTGCATGAACGCGGTAGAACTGTGGGTGATGTGTATATTGGACAAGGATCACTACGGTCGATTCTCCAGTGTGGTACAGCCACAGTTTCGCGACCTGCTGTTCAAGTAACGGGTCGTCCCCTGGTTTGGGCCTCTCCTTGATAAGAGAAGGAATCCGGAGATGATGAATCGAGTGGACGCGAGGGCCGTCAGCGATGGTCTTGGACTCGTGCAGGTCATAGATAAGGATATCCCCGCTCTTGAGCGCACCAGCGACGAAACCATCGCCAAGGCAACCCGCAATGCTGACAAATGGGTCTGTGACGAGAGACAGCTGCTGCTTATCTGTGGACCAAAGAAGTTCAAGGGACTTGGTGTCCCACACTTTGATGCGCCCATCAGCGCCAGCGGACGAAAACGTGTTTGAACCCGAATCAGGAACGATCTGTTGCACAGCGCCTTCGTGCTGATCGTTGACAGCACATCGGATTAGCTTGGACGCAGCGCGAGAGTCCATGACACGGTTCGCGACGGTGAGCGCAACTTCACCGTTGCGCTTTCCCCAAAACACGCGGGCGCTGCCGCCATCGGAGGACATCGTACACACGGAGACGTTGGGGGTAAATTCAACGTTGGGGTTGCCGATACCCAGACCGGTTCCGGAGGCGTCAATGTAGCCCTTTAAGACTTTTCCGTTGAGGGGGATCGAGCGCGCGACGATGCCGTACTCGTTGGAGGACGTCAAGAGGGCGTGCTCGGACATGAGATGGACCTCGTCGATGGACGAGTCCTGCGGAGCATGAGTGACAGTCGGGTTGCGAGAGCGCGTCCAGTGACTAGGAAGCGAATAAGTGATAGCGGCGAATCGGGTGGAAAAGGAACGCACCGGTTGACGGTGTAGCGGTGGATGAACTCTTTGCGCCAGGAATGTTCTGTGCGCCTGAGGAGCAATATGTGTTGGTTATCGAGCTCATGTTCTGGACTGATACCAAGGAATTGTGTGAGGAAGGCACGGAGCCAGGTGCCATCGTCGTCTACGTGTTCGCAGAGGCGTCTGCAGGTGCAGGCGAGAGCGAGGAGGGAGGGGAGGGGGAGGTAGGCGGTGATGTGAGTGAGTGACTCTTGCGGAAGGCCAAGTAAAAGAGAGCCATGTTGGAGATGGTAGTGGGTTGACTGTGGGGACTTGTTGTCGATACGAGCGGATACTTTGGGATGAGATTGTATTGGTCGCGTTGGCATATAATGGCAGGGAAATTCACAAAGTCAGTAGCGATCGCAGGCAAAGTCGTCGCCTGCGAGTGAGCGGGGATGTCAACCAGCACTTTCGTCCACTTTTCTTCTTTTAACGACGTCTTAGGTAAGCATGCTCTCACTGCGCAGAAAAAATTAGAGGTCTTGCCAGGAATCGAACCTGGGTCTTGGGAAGATGTCCTCAGAATCCCAAGTGATAACCGCTACACTACAAGACCATGAGGTCTTACGGCAAGTAACAATACACTACCTGTCGCAAAGCATGCATTCATTTATAGCGCTCGAAGATATCCTCGGCGAGGATTGATCGACTTCCCAGGGCGGTCATGTCTGCTTGATGCATGTGGGGCCTTAATGGTACTCAAGGTATGTGTCGTCGTGGCTATTGGACGTCCGAGCTACAGCAGAGCATCTAACCAATCAATGTCCGAGGAGGGGGTCACGGTCGCCGGCAAACCATTGATAGACTAGCCAGTTCATTGGCGCCGCATCTTCGCCACCAAGCCGCTTTCCCCACGCGAACGTCCTCGAGACGGCTCCGACCTGGCGGCCCGGCCCGCCAGCTTTCTTTCGCAGGCCGCTATCTTTATCCGTTCAATGTTGCTTCTTATGTCTTATATTAGTCTCCCGTAGGTAGCCCCTTAGGTAGGAAGATAGTCGTTCCTACTCGAGGTATTGTAACAGTATGTATGCCCTCCACAAAGTTCCCATTCCAATTATCTCACCAAGTTGTCTAACTTATTTTAGGGTCGCTCAGTCAATCTTTCCGCGGACTGGGACGAACTACTGCCCTCGGAGCCCTGATACACTCTTACCGGGTGACATACATTGCTTTCTGTACCCTTGCAACATTACCCTGTTTAGAGGTTTAGTCTCATCGATTGTGCGTCCTTTTGACATCTGCACAGTATTTGGCAATCCGAATCATAACTTCAATCAGACTCTCTTACGATGGGGCTGTTTGACTCTGGTGCTGACCCTGCGTATTCGGCACTCCGCTCGGCACAGGTCTGTAAAGAAGACATAAAATAGATCCCACCCCCGCCGTCAGCTCCCCCACTTTATCCTCGATGTGGTCGTGGCCAACACCTTGGATCATTCTTTGGTCCGTGCCTTTGTTTGGTAGAGACGCTCGAGTCGCATCACTCGCATCCGATGCCAACAATATCGTTTCCATTGACCTCTCAATTGCTAATTGCTGTGTGGCCCCGGATGGCTTTCCAAGAGTGTAGGAGGGGGTTATTCAGGAGCCCGAAAATGTGTTGACACACTTTAGTGCCGTCCTCGCTGGCAAACAAGGTGAAGAACCTACCCTCCCTGGTCCGGTCATTTCTGGGTACAAGGTATGCTTCTCTTTTATCCGCAGCATCCACTCGTGACTTAATCATTGCAAAGAGTGATCGATTCTTGATTAATGTCACTAACGAATTGACCGATACGAGCATGTTCACTGGAACAACCATTGTCAGTGCATATAGACGTCTCTCAACACCTCTACTTGGTACTCATTTACACTATATTCACAGCACTGGCACGGTATCTCCCAGCACCATTCGAACCAAATGGATGGTACAGCTTATGTCACTCAATGTCCAATCTCCCCCCAAAAATCTTTCTTGTACAATTTCACTGGCGACGATCAGGTTGGTACCTTCTGGTATCACTCACACTATGCAGTTCAATACTGCGATGGTCTTCGTGGTCCTTTTATCATTCGCGATCGCGAGGATCCATTCAATGAACTGTACGACTTTGACGACGGTTTGTGTTCTGACGATTGCACTGGCTTGAAAGTGACTTCGTCCACGACAGATTCTGCAATCATTACATTGATGGACTGGTACGCACACATACATCTGAAATTGACGCTTCGCTGATTCTCGCCACACAGGTATCATTACCCCTCTCCTGACACGCCCCGACAAGTCTGGCCGGATTCGGTCCTCAGCAACGGGACCGGATGTTATGATGGCCTAGAATGTCCACCACACGTTACTTACATGGTCCAGGCAACGAAACGTTACCGTTTCCGCCTTTTAAACATGTCATGCAAACAATTTTACAACGTCTCTGTCGACTCATAGAAGTCGATGGAGACTACGTCGAGCCTACACTGTCGACTCCATCCAGATCTTCGCAGCCCAGCGTTACTCCTTCATCCTTAACGCTGACAAACCAGTCGACAACTACTGGATCCGCACAATCCCAGATCCATCGGAGCCGATGAACGCGACTACCACCGCCATATTGAGGTACGCCGGCGCACCGAATGTTGACCCACAGGCTGTCAACGTGACGAACAATTACTTGAACGAGACACTCCTACGTTCCCTATCAGAGCCTCCCGCTTACATCCTCGAACCAAATCCAGACATTAGGCTCAACGTGGTGATGGCCAAGAATGAGGACGACTACAACTTCATGATCAACGGCGTCCAGTACACATCACCTAGCGTTCCTGTTCTGCTGCAGATCATGAACGGAGCGCTGAGCCAGGATATTGATCCCGTGCAATCTATTTATTTGCTTCCACGAGACAAGCTCGTCGAGGTTACTTTTCACGTTGATGATACGTCAGGTCGTCCCGTAAGTGAACTACACATTGCAGGCAGAAAGCGTGATCTAATTCCTTTCCGACGCTAGCATCCTTTCCACCTGCATGGCGTAAGTGGTCCATTTCATTGTGATATCCTTCCCTGATTGACACCGGAAACAGCACCACTTCGCGGTCATCAAGAGTGCTGACAGCGAGTTCCGGAACTATGACAGGCCCGTCATGAGAGACACCGTCAGCACAGGAACAGACGACAAGTCGGACAACGTGACGATCAGGTTTGTCACCGATAATCCAAGGCCCTGGATACTTCGCTGGTGAGTGGGCAAGCACTCTTTCAGTATCGTTAAGCATGTGTGATCGTGACGTTCTAGCCACATCGAATGGCATCTCTACGTGTAAGTCTCCCCCGTGCTCCGTAGTGGCCCTTGTTGATACCCCACATCCGGACTGACAGGGGAATGGCGATCGTCTTTGTTGAGGGCTATGCGAGCATTCGCGCCAATCTGCCATTCAGCAGTGAGTCCCCTCTCGTGATTTGAAATGTCACGCGGGTGCTCAACGGACGGTCATGGCTTGGTAGATGCCTCGCGGGATCTGTGCCCGTATAACAACCCGTACGAAACTTGGAGTCTGTCCCCTCCAAGATCAACCGCTGGGCCGTACATCCCTACGACGACGACGACGACCTGTACGCCTACCCAGTTTATGAGGAGAGGCGTCTGAGTCTCGTGTTCCTGTATTGTACTCGTTTTGTTTTGTTTCTTGAGATAGAGCGGTTTAGATGCGCCGTTTACGCGGTTTCATGCATGTTAGGTTAAGTATGTCATCTTTTATGACCATTTGCATTTGCTTTGAGCTCGCGCGATAGATCAAGTTGCTCCATGGCGGGTGTCTACGAGGCGGACAGCATCGATACCCCGCGTTCCCTCCAGGTTGTAGGGGCTCTGGGGAAATGCAGGCGTCCCACCGCAGTCTGTCGCCCCCTCCAGACTGTCATCGTATGACGCACTCTCGTAAGGTATATTGCGACACTGGTGTACTAGTACATGCAGGTGCGAGATCATGTACTGCCAGGCGAGAACATGGGTGACAAAAGACATGGCGAACTTTCTCTGCCATATCGAATATTCGAGTAGCTGGACGATCAGGGATATCTGGACGTATACAAACCTCGAGGCCAGATTGCGGCTGATGACGGGTTGGCGACATGTGGAAACGAGACATAATTTAAAAGAAAGGCACTGGACCTGAGAAAAGTCGCTACTCTCACCTCGATGCGACAGCATTGCGGGACGGGTGCGGCTCATGACAAAGGGTAAACAGCGGTGGTTTTAATTTCCCTATGGAAGGATATCTTGGGCCTAGAAAGTGGCCAGTTACATTAAGCTAGACGTCAGGAACGGAGAACTGAAAGGTCCCTGTCAATGGGTGAGGTCATAGTTCGGAACTGAACGAGTGATGAATCATAGCCACTCGTGTCTCCGGGTGGTGCCCCACACAGCAAGCCCGTAATTTCGGGGTCCCCCTTTCATGAATCACGAGGATGTGCCAGTGCCGCGAAGATACTACGTTCACTGGCCTGAACACAATGTCACGGTTATGTTCGACATCAATTACATACTACTCTCATCAGTCACAACGGTAATGCATAAGTATAGGAAGATCGGACTCACAGCGATTGCTTGCCTAATGGTCAAGGTTCAACAGAAAAACGCCTCGATAACTTATCGACAAGTTGTACTGGTCACGTGCATATTAGAGTCAAGGGAGCGGGAAAGTTTCTTCGTTGTTTTCCGTCCACTACTACCGGACCCGGGTGAGCGTCGTCATTGTAAAGCACTGTGCTTAGTTCTGTTGAGTCTAACCTTCCGGGTGAACTTCTACGAACCTCTCTTCCAGCAGTGCCTCAGCTCTTGCCTCACTGGCAATCCCGGGCCTATGTGTAGCTGTCATTCCTTGAGCTTTCTGTAAGTCGAGGCAAGCTCTTGTGCCAATTTTCTTCGTTAATGTCTACCCTAGGAGCAAGCCACGATGAATGTGAAAACATCAACATCACCTGGATGCGTGAATAGTGGACCGGCGTTGTGATATATGCCCGAAGAAGAAAAGCTCAGACCGAGGCAGTGTGTCCTCAAGGTAGGCATCGCATCGCCTGCGAAGTTCCGAAGGGTGATCAGGCCTTGCCATGCCTCAAGTTCGAACTCATGAAACGCGTTGTCAAGGCTGCAGTGACCCAACGATTCGTCATTTTAGATCATGGAAACCTGTCCAGACTCACATTCTGACGCCATGACAACGAGACCCAACATATAAACTCACAAGTACTAGCAATGATTATTGTCCATACGCTGATCATTGTAAGTCGAGGATATCTGACATTGTGGACGAACCAGCTCAACCATCTAGTGAATTATGGACGGCTATGACTTCCCTATCATGGTTCCCTTCAATGTGCAGGGTGCTCCACAGTTCCACGCTGCTTCTCCTTGACGACCTCGAGGGTATTGGCTGTCATGTCTTGCGGAGCGAGACCTCGCGAATGGATTCACCCCTAGTTCCATGCCCTTTAAATACGGGGACCTCACGAACACGGCTGCCCGCATGGCTTTCTCGTCTCCTGCTCTGTATCTTATGGCCGGAGAAACCTCAACAACGCCCAAA